TTAGTACTATGTTAGGGTCCATCTCTTGTTGCCCCTCTCCCAAGGTATTTCCTTCTTCTTTCGCTTACTTGGATATCTATTGACTGAAAAATCACTTCTTTATGTGAAAACCATTGTTGAAGAATTCAAGATTATATATTTTAAGTTTATGTGCAAATCCCAAAATTTGGTGATTGTTTCTGATTGCAGGGGTATGAGATAGTTAGACAACACAATGGTCGATTGAAGCATTGTGTTTTCACGGTGAAATCGAGTGTGCCTGTGTATTCGGAAGGCGTAAACGATGGGATTAAGTTGCATTCTTTTGGGAATTTAGTTAAAACAAGAAGGTTTTTTCTGGATACTTCAAGAAGGTTCTATTTCCAAGGTAGATGGTCTGAATTCTCAGGGAGGAGAGTGCAGACTTATGCAGGAGTAGATGTAGCAAGTGCTGTTGATGTAATCAACGATCTTGGATTCGATACTTTGACCTTCTTGATGGTCACTGTTATTATTGTCCCTGCATTCAGAGTCCTCAAAGCTAGTCCGGTATAACAAACTGCTACATGGGGTTGCTTGTCGAAAATAAATTCTTGGCGTATAACTTTTGTGTTTTTGATGGTATTCCAGATACTTGGTTTCTTCTTTGCTGGTGTTGTACTCAACCAATTTGGTTTGATCAGAAATCTCACAGATGTTAAAGTTCTTTCGGAATGGGGGATTCTTTTCCTGGTGAGTATTTGATTCATTTTGTTGACACAAAGCTTTATGCGTTGAAGAAAGGGTAATGACTAGGCTTGTGCTGATTATCTTTGACAGCTCTTTGAGATGGGTCTAGAGCTTTCACTTGCTCGTCTGAAAGCTCTTGCAAAATTTGCTTTTGGCATGGGACTAACTCAGGTTTGGTCCTAAAAGAAGTTTCTTGGTTTACCTTAAACCGCTTACATTCCTTCCTATATTTTCACTTCTGTCAGATAAGCATCACAAGAGTCAATGATCTCTACGACCCGATTTCGTTATGAAACTTTATAGACCATATCATTGTCTGCAAAGATGTCATACATCGATTGTTTAACGTTACCTTACGTTGTACTGTTTTACATTGTCCGTTTTCCTTATTTCAAAGGTTTTGTTATGCACGGCTGCATTCACTGCTTTTGAACTCCCGCCAAATGGAGCCATAGGAACAAAAATTCTTGAATTCCTCTTTCATTCAAGGTCTGACTTGGTAAGATATTTCACTTGGGGTGTTCTTATGATTATCTTGCCGTTCCATGTATTTAAAATTTAGCAGACGCCTCTTTTCCCAATGTGATCATGGTCTTGTAACTGTCAATCTCTGATGCTTTTTGTTAGGCTTTTAGAGCTGTATCCTAATATGATCTATACTTTCTGTAAAATTCTAGGTCAACATTAGAAGCATTGATGAGGCCGTTGTCATTGGCGCTGCTCTTTCATTGTCATCCTCAGCTTTTGTTCTACAGGTATTAGCACAGTTGCACTAACTTTAAATCATATTTCTAGAATGGTAATGAGAAGAGGCAAACTCAATCAACAATTTAGTAAGGCTTAGTTTTATTGACAATTTCGAAATGTATAGCTTCTTGCAGAGAAAGGTGAGCTCCCTACAAGATTTGGCTCAGCAACCTTGGGAATTCTTCTTCTACAGGTTCTGCTTATCCTGTATAATTCCTATTTTCTATTCCATCCAAAAATCCATATGTTACGAAAGTATAGATTTGGGAAAAGAATCTCGATATTTTGGAAACTCACCCAAGATATGCAAAAATCTTGTGCAAACTCCGGAAGTAGACAAACTTTTTCGCTTACGTTCCTCGCATTGCTTGCAGGATATAGCTGTTGTGCCGTTACTAGTCATTCTTCCAGTGTTGGAAAGCCAGGTAACTTGGCTATCACCTTCTTGAGCTTTTGTGGACAGTTTTTTATAAAAAGATAAAAGCTGCATTAAACTTTACTAGTATAAAAAACTTGGTGGGGATAGCATATGGCCAATTAATTGATACTAGTCTAATCTGTCCACAAAAGATTTAATTGATACTAGTGCAACGATTCAATTAAATCTTAGCACTTACTTATATGTGAATCTCTGTATATTTGCAAGAATCTTGGTGGGGAAAGCATATGGCCAATGCTTGCAAAAGAAAGTGCAAAGGCTCTTGGTGGGTTGGGTATCCTCTCTCTTGGAGGAAAGTTCTTTCTCCGTAGAATTTTTGAGGTAACTTATTTCGTGTCCTTATAGTTTTACAAAACCCTTTCCTTTTTTAGTGAGTGAAAACAGGACACGGTTTTATTTGGTGCAGAGCTTAACACTAAGCCCCAAATAATATTCAGGTTGTTGCAGAAACCAGAAGCTCAGAAGCTTTTGTGGCCCTTTGCCTTCTCACAGTTGCTGGGACTTCACTCGTGACCCAATGGCTTGGTTTCAGCGATACGGTTTGAATTAATTCCCTTCAAATAAAAATTCCATCTAATATCCTCACCCTAATGTCCTAACTCAATCTACTCTGAAGCTTGGAGCTTTTCTTGCTGGAGCACTTCTAGCGGAAACAAATTTCCGGACACAAATCGAAGCTGACATTAGGCCATTTAGAGGTTTACTTCTTGGTTTGTTCTTTGTAACCACAGGAACATCCATTGACATGGAGGTAAAGTGTTCTATTGCATTGCATAAGAACTCAGTTGTTCCGCTTAAAAATATGATACATTTCATGTTCATGCTCATGTGGTTAAAATATTTTGCAGGTTCTGTTTCGTGAATGGCCTAATGTCCTCTCACTCTTGGGTGGTCTGATTGTGATCAAAACACTGATTATAACCGCAATCGGTCCCCGAGTTGGCCTCACAATACAAGAAAGCGTAAGAGTTGGTTTTCTTCTGTCCCAGGGAGGGGAATTTGCATTTGTTGTGTTCTCTCTAGCCAACAGGTTTTTCTAACTGCCAATATTTTTGCTCAAACATCTCCCAAAAGATTTCGATAGTTTCGACATTTTCCTTACTAATTAGGTGGTCATCATTGTTACAATCATTTGTGCAGGCTAGGAGTGCTTCCAAATGAGCTGAACAAGCTGCTCATTATCGTAGTTGTTTTGTCTATGGCATTAACACCTTATCTTAACCAACTTGGAAGAAAAGCCGCCGATTTTCTTGATGAGAGACTTGATCCCGGAGATGTAACTTTTAAATTTCTAGCTCTGCACTTATATGAAAAATAAGATTTGCATTCATCACGAACCTGTTGACAATTCTGCAGAAAATAGACGAAAATGTGAACTTCGACGTTAGTGAATCAATTGTCATCATTGGATTTGGACAAATGGGTCAGGTAAAAGTCATCATTTGCTTTCCTGGGAAAGTTGTGCTAAGTGGTTTCTTATCGAGTCGATATGGCTTTGCAGGTTCTGGCCAATTTTTTGTCAACGCCGTTGGTCTCAGATAGTGATCTTGTGGGATGGCCTTATATTGGCTTTGATTTGAATCCTGCTGTAGTGAAGGTCTGAAACAGATAACAGATTTTGTTTGTTCCTGATCTGATCAAATTGCTGACATTCTAAACTGGTTTTTTTACTTTATGTTGGTTTGTGGTAGGAGTCAAGAAAACTCGGTTTCCCGATATTGTATGGAGACGGATCTCGACCATCGGTTTTGCAATCTGCAGGTGTTTCATCTCCTAAAGCTATCATGATAATGTATAAAGGCAAGAAGAGAACTACAGAGGCTGTTCAAAGACTCCGCCTTGCCTTCCCGGGGGTAATTTTTCACTCTTCCTTCTTTCTTTATCAATTCAAACGTCTGATCTGGTTGGTAAAATATTGGAATCGCGGAAATTGACTGCTTTTATCTTATCACCAGAGTCCAATTTATGCAAGAGCTCAAGATTTACCGCATCTACTTGAACTCAAGAAAGCAGGAGCCACAGATGCAATTCTCGAAAATGCAGAGGTAAACTTCAAAAACAGTTCTCTTTCTTGATCACACTGAGATTTCTTTCTGAACGAGTTTGTTTGTTTCGGGTTTACAGACAAGTTTACAGCTCGGTTCGAAGCTGTTGACAGGATTCGGAGTAATGTCTGACGACGTAAGCTTTCTGAGTAAAGTTTTCAGAGATTCAATGGAGATACAAGCTCAAGAAGAAATCACTGCTAGTGAAACCAATGCTGGTTTGAAGCCAATGCAAATGAAAGCTTCTGATATAAACGTAGAGTCTGGTGCACAACAAGTCCAGCTCATGAAGCCAATGCAAATGAAAGCTTCTGATTCAAACTCAGATTCTGCAGCAGAAATTCTTCAAGAAACAGATAGTTTGAGTCAGTCTCAGATTGATGATTCTTCTGTGAATATAGATAATGGATTTGTTGGTAAAGCTGATAAAGCTCAAGAGTAAAAATGCTCAAATATTCTAACATTTTTTTTCTGAAATGTGCAGCCAATCTTCCAAACTAAAAAAGATTTCAATTTTTTTTTTTGTATGTATATTTTTTTCAAGATCACTGTTACTAAAAAGCCAAGTTTTAGCTCAAATTCAGTGTTGGTCTTTGCATATGAAATTGTTTCAATGAATTCCAATAGATTTGAGTATCTTACTAGAAAAACAAAAGTTCAATTTATAGTACAAAAGTTTATAATCCTCAAATGAAATGTTATAAAAAAAGTAGATTTTGAAGATGATAAAACATAAATTTTGACTTTAAATACTTGATCAAATAAGTACTGGGTTAGGATTTAGTTCTGATTTCAAAAAAAAAAAAAAAAAAAAAGAAAAATAATTAGTTTTAAATATGTAAATTAAAAACTAAACAAAATTTAAAGAAATTTGGTTCTATTGATTGAACAAAATTCGGTTTGGTGAAAAGTTTGTAGGAACGTGATACCATTTTCAAGTATAAGGCTGACGTCATTAGCCTCTTCCGATTGGGTAGTGTACTCCACGCGCTTGTTGATTAAACAAATATACAGACAAACGAAGTATAAGGCTGACGTCATTAGCCTCTTACTCTTGTCAAAATTAAACAAATATCGCAAAACTATTTATTTACACATTTAAATTTGTGTATATACAGACAAACGAAGAAGACGAATCTCTCAGTTTCGATTCGTTTCAAAGTTGTGCGTAGTTGAAATTTGAAATCTGAAACACTCATTGCAAACACCATTGAAGAAGAAGAAGCTTTCATAGATTCCGTTGGGTTCTAGGGTTTCGTGACGATTGTGTTTTTGATTGATCGGATCGATTGCGATTAAGGAGGTGGAAGAGAAGAAGATATGGCTCAGGCTGTAGAAGAATGGTATAAACAGATGCCGATTATCACTCGCTCATATCTCACGGCGGCTGTTATCACCACCGTCGGATGTTCCCTCGATGTATGTGCTTTTAGGGGTTCTCTCTTTTTTTTTTGGTGAAATTTGAAATTCTCTGGATTTCTAAAGCTTTTGATTTTGTTTCTGTTTGGAAATGTTTCTTTTGTTCAAATTGATTTGATTATCTCTTTTTTTAAGCTGACATGAATTAGGGTTTTCATATTCTGATTGTTTTGTTTTGCAGATTATATCTCCCTATAACCTCTATTTGAATCCGACCCTTGTGGTGAAGCAATACCAATATTGGCGTCTCGTTACAAATTTTTTGTATTTCCGGAAGATGGGTAATTTCCCTTAGACTCTAAGAAACTGGATACAACATTTGTCTTATGAGACAAGTTCGTCTTTTTTGGCTTCAGAACTGATTTAGAATGCTTATGAGTTATGAATTATATGGTTCATATGTAGTTCTTGCTAGATGTACTAGTAAATTGCCTTATAGTCATGATTCATCGATGTAGACAAACTCACATAACTGCTGAGTAGTAATTCTTTGGTTTTTGAAAGTTCTCTTTTTCACTTGTAGAAAACTTGAGATGTGTAAAAGCTAAAGGGTTGAGTTGAATCTTTCCGCATCTCCTGCTTGACTGTTTTTTTTTTCTTGTCACATCATTAGCTTTAGACAGACAATGTTTAGCTGCTACTTGTTAATAGCGTTTTGATTGATTGATTGTGTATTTTAATTGCCTAGTTTGCTTTTGCTTATAATCAAATATGTCTTTGTCTTTTGGGGTTTTGCAGATTTGGACTTCATGTTCCATATGTTCTTTCTCGCACGATACTGCAAACTCCTTGAAGAAAACTCATTCAGGGGAAAGACTGCTGATTTCCTATACATGCTCCTATTTGGAGCTTCTGTTCTAACCGGTATTGTTCTACTCGGTGGAATGATACCGTACTTGTCTGCATCATTTGCTAAAATCATCTTCCTCAGCAACTCATTAACTTTCATGATGGTTGGTAACTTCTATCACACCTTGTTTCCCACAAATCTAAGTCATCTCTAAATATCAGCTAATAGTCTCTTATGTTCCACAGGTATATGTATGGAGCAAACAAAATCCTTATATTCACATGAGTTTCCTTGGTCTGTTCACCTTCACAGCAGCTTACCTACCATGGGTGAGTTTAACTTTCTTGCTCCTCTCCTTTCCCTAAACTTACACCGGAATGAAACATCTTTTACAAATTCTGGCCCTGCAGGTGCTTCTTGGCTTCTCTATCCTTGTTGGTGCCAGTGCTTGGGTGGATCTTTTGGTATATACTCAATTATCCCAAAATTTCTTCTCCAATCTCTTTTGACCTTTTGTCCCCCAAATAAACTGAGTCTATCCAAAACATTTCAGGGTATGATAGCAGGTCACGCGTACTACTTTCTGGCTGAGGTCTATCCACGAATGACTAATCGTCATCCTTTAAAGACTCCATCGTTCCTCAAAGCCCTATTTGCAGATGAACCAGTTGTGGTTGCACGGCCAGAAAATGTGAGGTTTGCTGCTGCGCCTTTTGATGAAATCCACCAAGACTGAGTCTGATCTTACACATTTAGGTTTGGAACTCCAGAATCAGTTTGGCTTGTTGATCATATATATATGGTAAAAAGGCAGATGATACACAAAGTCTATTAACTCTGACACGCTAGTTGTGAAACCCACACACCCTAGTTTCTAGTAGTTGGGTGTGTTTTGGTTCCTTCCCTTTTCTCCCATCTCTTTATCTTGTTGTGTATACAAATATGCTTTGCTCTTAGTGGTTATGGATATGGACACTCAAATTGTACACAGCCTCCAGCAATGTCACAATGTTTCAGGTCAAGGTTATTTGTTTTAGCAAGAGAAGAAAGTTCTAAATTCACTACCCGACTCAAAATATCAGAACAAATGTTTCTCGTCTGGTCTGTTTTCATATCTCCTCTGTCCCAAGTTCAAGTCCGAAACTTTGCTTAATCGTTCTTTCAAGAATCAGAGATCAAAGATGTGAGTTCTGCAAAGTGCCAGAAGTCGCTTCATTTTCCTAAGAAATTTAATTTTATAGATCACCCATCTTCAGAATAATTTTTACCAGATGGGAAGAAAAGAAAAATAAGAGAAGCCTATTTTTTTGTACAAGAAAAAGCCAAGACATCCTTTTTTCAAATGTTAACCAGTTCTTCCTTTCCCTATATTTAAGTTTGCAGTGAAAACAGTGTGAGCTGCGTATTCCGGAAAACAACAACACATGTTTAAGCTTCTTTCGGTATGGGGCTGTCGTGTGAAGTTATTAATAAATGTCTGAAACTATGATCTCTTAATCATAGAGATAGGTCTCTTCTTCCAGTATTGTACCCCATAAGCTGCAGTTGAAGCCATAGTCGTCGAAGCAACTAACCAGCTGGATACAAAACAAAATGAGACCAATAACAACATTTCAGAGAACACACTTCATATGTTTATAACTTGAAGGCAGTTAGTTAATACAGACTGTCTTAGTTTTAAAAAGACCTATTACCTTAGATAAGTGATCCATGTCTGGGTATCTGGATTCCCAAATTCGGGTTGAAGTATTGCACCAGCGACTAGAGCCAACTGGAAAACTGTATTCACCTGTCGATAAACATGTTCCATTAACTAATTAGTTACGCATACCAAAGATGCCAACATGAGAACAAGCTGTTACCAAGAGATCATACCTTGCTTATAAACAATGGTTCTACTTTCTGAGGGCTTGAACCATCTAGGTTAAAGAAGTCACTCCAATTTTTCCACTGAAAGAAACAAGAGCAATATGATTCCCATCAATAATTTCAGTTCGTGTTCTTGTTAAAGCATATGATCAAGCGGAAAAAAAATGTAGGGAAACAAGAGAAATTAGTTGAGTGGTCTATCTAGCTCAAAGTTGCAAAATTCACCTTCCAGTCCAAGTTTAGTGCCCTTAGGTAGACCGCACCACCAACGAGTGCAACATCCCGTAACAACACAATTCCAACCAGTCCAGCTTTAGAGCACAAATGTCACATGCATCCACCAAAATTGAGTTTAGTACCAACGATTTAAAAAAAGTTGAAAAGGTAGTATTGCAATCTAAGGACTATATTAACTAACACACACAGCCAAGTTTAGCAACTAGTTAGTTAACTTAGTATGGTTTCCTCTTGATACATACATGCAATCTTTTAAAGAGGTTTTTGTTCAAGGAGATCAAATGACTGAAATAAAGGTACGACAACTCTGATGCATTCCTCAGGTGATCACTCAATTCGAGTACTTATAAGAGAAATTTCCGCACTTCAACTTTGTCAACTCTAGATATGTCAAAATTTCTGCTAACTTATTATCTACTAGGAGCAGAAGAGGAAGAAGAATACTCACGATGTAAGAGATCCTTCTGCACCATTGCTACTGCGACACATCCGATAAGAACCTGAAATTAAACACGAGTATAATCAAGAAAACTGAGGTGAAATGAAACCTTACACATGTTTGCAGCTTAAAACTAACTTGAAATTCAGAGAACATCCACAATGAGCCACCAAAAGAAAACACATAATAGATGTTAAAGACTTTACCTTGTCTGCAAGAGGATCAAGGTAAGAGCCAACCACAGAATTAATCTTCATCCTCCGCGCCACGTAACCATCTAACTACAAAATCAAGGATCTACTAAAACAATGTTCTTCTTCCCAATACTATAAAAAAGAATCACAAAGAAGATGAGTACCCAATCACTAGCTCCAGAAACAGCCAAGCCTACGAAAGCAGAAGTATACATCTCATTCGAAATCATCCTACAATAATAGAAGAACAATCAAGTTTCAAATTCTTCATCCTCCAATATATTCCTGGAAATTGATACTTGCACTTACCACCAAAGCGCAGGACCAGACACTAATCTTGCCATTGATATCAAATTAGGGACATTAACAAAACTCTTAAGTATTCCACCATCTTCTTCCTTCGAATCGTTGCGATCCACCGTTGGTACCACAGACTGTAACCCTAAATGTCTAGGAAACCTAGTTCTACTTCTAATTCGATCCAATCTAAGATTCAGAGCTTCGACCTTCTTCAAAATAGCGCCATTTCCGCGCCAATGCAAAGGTGTCGCAGACTGGAGAAGTTTCCAAGGAGGAGAAGAGAGGAAGAGAGGTCCATGAAGAGGAACGAACCATTTCGAAAGCGGAGATAAGCGGTGTGAGAAATGTGGGAACAACGGCGAAAACTGCGGAGGGATAAGAGAAACGGTTCCGCCGGAAGGCGATGCGGCGGTGGCGGCGGTGAAGAATGGTCTAGTTTTCCGGTGATTGATTTCAATTAGCTTTCTCAGAGATCTGTAAATCGCCATTGATCAACAAAGCTTCGTCTTCCTCATTTATTTAATTTTAATTTTGATTAATTGGAATTCGAATTTTGATTAGTTCCTTTAACACTGGCAAGGAGGAAGATGAATCACAGAGGCGACTAGGTTTTCGCTGCTTGAGAGTCTTGACTTGTGCCACGTGTACGCTTCCTGAAACACGTGGAAGCTTTATACTATTACCAAACCGGGTCATTAACCGGAATAATAAATCGGAATTAAAAAGTACCATTCAATTTTTATAGGATAAGAAATTGGTTTTCTAGATTATTGGTTTAGAATCCGGAAAAAATGGTCATTTAAATCAGTTGTTTATTTTCGTTGATTTAAAGCATAAACTATGTATCTGATTAGAATTTAGGAAATTTTGGTAATAGTAGTCTTATTTGAGTTTTGGTTTTTTTAAATGACATTAAAAAAACTTCTCGTGCGCAACGCCATTTACGTCACATGGAAAGACGTATTTGCCCTTGAACGAGGACAATAATCCGTTGAAGGAAGCTGTGGACATTAACACAGAACATGTCAGCCAATTGTCCATCCAAAATAATGAACAAACTGTAGACAATTCTGGTTGTGAGGTAACAGTGGACAAAATAAATACATCTGTACCAGAAAAGTCCACCGAACCTAATGAAGGTGTGATGTCAATAATTTAACTTGCGATGAAGGAAAAGAAGGAGCTGCTGCTGAAGAGGTAGTATTTGAAATTAAATTTTGGATTATTTGTTTTAAATGCTATAAACTGATTCTATAGTTAATGTCAGAAAGCATAACTTGATTTAAGGTGATTTTTGATTGAATTAAATTTGCTTAGATCTTCCACTTTGTTTTCGTGAATCCAGTCAAGCTGGAGATTTGATTTGACGATTTTGCCGACAACTTGATTGAGATGGAAGTTCAGTTGCAAGGAAGAAATAATTTGTGTGGGTAGTTATCTATTTCTTTGAAATGGTGGTTTGATGCTTATATTATCTTGAAATCTTCAAATGTGTTTGTCTTTCTACTTGGATTGATTTGATCAAATTAGGTGATGGATCCATCAATTTTTACCCTTGTTTAGTAGCTTACCAATGTTTTTATAATTCGCTATATTTGTATTATTTTCGTAAGGTTTTCTGACTCACTGATCTTTAAAATTTCATATTTCTTATGACACATGCATAAGAGGATCAAGAAGTTAACAACTTCAACACAGCCAAAAATCTTCAAATCTCGAGCAGCAAAAGTTTCTCAAATTCACGCAATGAATATGACAATGAAACTAGAGAAACCAAATCCTCAACAGAATCCGTCGCTTTATTAGAAGCTGAAGAAGGTCATGACTGGGAGCTCGAGTACATAACCAAGTTCATAGTCTCTGGCCAACTGATGATAAAAGAATTCTCCTTGGGAATGGCTACTGATATTACCTCTGAGCTTTTTCGATGAAATTGAAGGTAAGAGAGATGCCCAGAGTAAGATTGAGAGAAAAACACTGGTCGAATTTGTGCTTATCAAATGCGAGCAAATGTTCATGGGAAGCTATAGAGGATTGTTGGGGAGAGAAGTCATTTTTCTTGAAAGAAGAGAGATTTTGACAGAAAAAGTGAAGAAAGAGGTTCAGGGATCGAAGAAACCATGGTCCCAAGAGTTCGCTCATTACACACTTGCATCGAATTGGAATTAGATTTGAGAAAAACTTTTCAATCCCCAAAAATTTTATGTATAAGAAAAACACACATTTCAATTTTCTAGCTGAGATTGAACCTTAGGCTCGCCGAAGAAGAAGAAAACGATCAACGTTGTGACGGTGGATTGGAATTCATTGTTGTGGAGGTTCTCGGTTCTTTTTTTATCAATCTCTCGCTATCTCTCTTTCTTAATGAAGAGAAGAAGGATGTTCCAGTGGATTCAGAGGTTTGACTTTACTAAACCAAACCGATATAGGCCATTCAAATCCAACAGAAACCTTGGGCCATTCGAAACCCATCACTTCTCAGTCATTAACGTCTGCAACAAGCATAAAAGCGACACACAAAGTGTGTGTTCTAAGCAGTAAATGGTTTTGGTAATCAGAAATTTAAACAAATTATATAATTAACCTCTTCATATGTATGTATTGTTGTAGACCGCATGGTCGGATGGACTCCATAACCGTGGGCCTAATCCATATTCTAGAAGGCCCATGTCCATGTTCTAGAGGATTCTCCTTATGACGGTCTATGTTATACTTAGTGGGCTTTTGGGCTTTAGGGTTTACTAGCCCAATGGGGATTTGTCTCCCCTTGTCATGTATAAATATGTATTGAAACCTCATTCATTAATCAATAAGAACAACAAGTTCTATAACACGTTATCAGCACGAGTTGCTCTTAACAAAAACCCTAAAACCCTAAACCTAAACTCGCCGAACTCGTCCACCGCTTGAAGCTACCAAACCAACGACTACTCGCTTTGCTCCTTGATCAGCGATCTCCTCCTAGCACCACACGTTCGTGATAAGCTTGATAACCGAGGTCTTTAGCTCCCGGTTCTAATCCATACAACCCCCAAAAGGTGAAAGGTAAAAACCAAAACCCTAAAAGCTAAAGAACCGATCTTGAATTTGAATCTAACAAACGGTGGAAACCTAAAACGAATCTGTAGTGTATAAACGATTGCTTTTGCTTGTGAAAAACCGATCATGAATTTGAACCTAACAAACGGTGGAAATCTAAAACGAATCTTGATTGCTTAAGTGATTGCTTTTTGCTTGTGAAAACCGATCATGAACTTGAAATTAACAAACGGCTAAGACACTAAAACGAGTCTTGATTGTTCAAGTGATTGCTATTGAAAACTGATCATGAACTTGAATCTAACGAACGGTGGAAACCTAAAACGAACCTTGAATGTTTAAAGTAATCTTATTGCTTGTAAGATCCGTTTATTTCAATCGTTTAGGTTGCTAGAAAAAGGTTGATTATTGCTTAAACTAAACTCGCCTAAGTTGCTAGAGAAGTTTTAATTATCTAAACCTAAAAATCGCAAATTACATAGGTTACGCAAATTACATGGGTTACGCAAATTATTTGCTTAGGGCGTTTTTAATTTGATTGTTTCTTTGATTGATTACATGCATAAGTTGTTAGAAACCCTAAAACTAAAATTGCATGAACCCTAGAAAACTTAGATAATCCTAAAACCCTAAATAAAATAGGAAACCCTAGAAAATAGGAAATCTTTAAAATCCTAAATCTTAGGGATAATAGAAAATCCTAAAACCCTAAATAAAATAGGAAATATCAAAACCCTAAATAATAGGAAATCTCAACAACCCTAAATCCTAAATAAAATAGGAAATCCTAAAAACCCTAAAATCTTAAATAGGAAATCTTAAAACTCTAAAACCCTAATCAAATTAGGAAATATTTAGAAAAGGAAATTTAATCCTAAAAAGGGAAGTCAAATCCTTAAGTAATCGATTCATAGTTCGGTTTTAAAACCGCATGACATTAACGATTACATGATATTGACTCAAATTCCCCTTTTGCTTGTAGATGTCGAAAACAAAGAACCTCAAGTTTTCTGCACTTAATGTTTCCGGCGACAATTACTTACAATGGGCATTGGACATTAAGATAGCCCTTGAATCCAAAGATCTCGCCGAGTGCATTATGAAAAACAACGAGTGTGAGAAGAGGTCGAAGTTTAAGGCGATTGCGTTTATACGCCATCACCTAGCAGAGAGCCTTAAGAATCAGTACCTTACTATCGAGGATCCTCTCGACTTTTGGGTCGAGTTGAAGAATCGATACGATCACCAAAAGACGGTACTCTTACCGAAAGCCCAATATGATTGGAAAAACCTCAGGATCCAGGATTTCAAATCCGTGGAGGAGTATAACTCCGAGCTTTTTTTAAGATTGTCTCAATCCTGAGGCTATGTGGTGAAAAGGTGACTGATGATACCTTGCTTGAGAAAACATACTCAACATTCCACCCTAATAATGTGGTACTTCAGCAACAATACCGTGGAATGAAATTCAAAACATATGCAAGTTTGATCTCCTGCTTACTCCTTGCTGAAAAGAATAATGAGCTATTACTAATGAATAGCTCAATGAGACCTCCAGGATCCACACCGTTGCCGGAAGCCCATAAGGCCGAAATAGCCAAAGAACCTCGAGAGACCAAAGGAACCAACTACGTCCATAGAGGGTATCACGGTCGTGGCCGTGGTAGAGGACGTGGTGGTGGTCGTAGCAACCATAACTCCTACGGCCGAGGAAACCACCATGGTGGTAGAGGCCGTGGGAACAATGGTCGAGGTCGTGGCCGCGGGATCTTCAAACCGCAACACAAGGCCAAGTCCGTTTGCCATAGATGCGGAATGGACAATCATTGGGCTAAGACGTGCAGGACATCTAAACATCTAATCGATGCTTATCAAGAAATGATAAAGAAGAATCCCGAAGCTAATTTGGCTCATCTCGATGGTGATGGAGATTTTGACCATGAGAACGATGACCAATTGGAGTATGAGACTTCGGATTGCTTAAGAGAGGAAAATTAAATTCGACATCTTGTGTTTTAATTTGCTTTATGCTTTAATTTACTTTATGTTTCCATGCTCTATGTTTTTTTGAATTCTATTCTATGTCTTTGAATTCTATTATTTCTTGGATTTAAATTTAAAGTTTAATTTGCCTTTAATATAATCGTTTACTTTATTATCTAAAGACATATTTCTTGTCAATGGCCGATGACAAGAATATACTTGTGGTGGATAGTGGATCGAACCACACAATTTTAAAAGACAAAAGATACTTTATAAATCTAACATTGAAAAATGCCAATATTAGCACCATAGCGGGTATAGCTAGTCTTATTAAGGGCCATGGTCAAGCCCATATCCTTTTATCAAAGGGCACGCATCTTGAAATAAGCGATGCCCTATATTCACCCAGCTCGAAGAGGAGCTTGTTAAGTTTCAAAGATATAAGATTGAATGGTTTCCATATTGAAACAAAGGGTGAAGGGAACAAAGAGATCACCCAAGGACATAAGAAAGTCCTAGAGACTATACCCGCATTATCCACTGGTCTCTACTATGCTAAAATCGATATGAACGAAGCTAATATGGCAATGAACAAAGAGTTCATTGAGAAATTCACTTTATGGCATGACCGGCTTGGCCATCCGGGTCATAGTATGATGCGTAAACTAATAACTAATTCAAAGGGGCACACCCTAAAAAGAGAAAAGAGTTATCCCTAAGAATCTCACGTGTGAAGCATGTTCACAAGGGAAACTCATTATAAGGCCATCACCGGCTAAGGTAAATAAAGAGACCTTAAAATTTCTGGAAAGGATACAAGGAGATATATGTATGGTCCTCATTGATGCATCGACAAGATGGTCGCATGTTTGTCTCCTATCTACTAGAAACCAAGTGTTTGCTAGGTTATTGGCCCAGATAATAAGACTGCGAGCCCACTTTCCAGATTTTCCGCTTAAGACTATATGTCTAGACAATGCCGGTGAATTCACGTCCCAAGCGTTTAATGACTACTGTATGTCCATGGGGGTAAGTGTGGAACATCCCGTAGCACATGTACATACACAGAATGGATTAGCGGAATCCTTCATTAAACGAATTCAATTGATAGTTCGACCATTACTCATGAGGTCGAAGCTTCCAGTAGCCGCTTGGGGACACACTGTTTTACATGCATCAGAGCTTATACGCATAAGGCCATCTAGTGAACATAAATATTCACCATCCCAATTACTCATGGGTCATGAGCCAGACATATCCCATCTAAAGACTTTCGGGTGTGCCGTATATATACCGATTGCTCCACCATATAGAACAAAGATGGGACCTCAAAGGAGGATGGGAATATATGTTGGATTTGATTCTCCCACCATTATTAAGTATCTAGAGCCAACTACGGGTGATCTATTTAAGGCTAGATACGCGGATTGTCATTTTAATGAATCCGAGTTCCCTACTTTAGGTGGAGAGATGAACAAGCTGGGTAAAGCAATAAAAGAAATATAATGGAATCAAACATCCTTAAATTGGCAAGATCCTCGGACTCTGGCATGAGAATCAGAGGTCCATAAGATTATACATTTGAAAAGCTAGCTAATCAATTGCCAGATTCCTTTGCTGACCCAAAGAAAGTTACAAAAACGTATATACCAGCTTGTAATGCACCAGTACGTATTGATATCCAAAAGGGAATCAATGAAATTGCTACCGAGTCTAACACACGAAAGAAACGTGGTAGACCAATAGGTTCCAAAGATAAAAATCCTCGAAAATCAAAGAAAGGTGCAATAGGAATCCGAGGTTACTAAGGAAACCATCCCAGACATGGAGATAAGGCCGGCCGGCTCTAAGGTACAGGTACCATATAATGTAGCTTGGGACGCCAAGCTGCAAAGTATTAAAGGTCCTGACCATAATAAATCTCAAATCGATTATATCATGTCTGGAACATAATGGAACATATAAGAAATGTCGACATAAGATGATTTTGCATGCAAGGTAGCACTTGAATTTATGAATATAAATGAGGATCAGGAGCCCACGTCTATACTAGAGTGCACTCAAATACTTGATTGATTAAATGGTACAAGACCATAAAACGTGGAGCTAAGAATCATTAAGAAAAGGAATGAGTTTGGTCCGACCTTAAGGACACCATTCGATGTAAAAACCAGTAGGACACAAATGGGTCTTTGTGAAGAAGAGAAATGAGAATAATGAAATCGTGAGATATAAGGCACGGCTTGTAGCACAAGGATTCTCACAAAGACCGGGGATAGATTATGAAGAAACATACTCCCCTGTGGTGGATGCTAAGACATTTAAATTTTGCTAAGTCTGGCTATATAAAGAAAAAGACTTGATTTGCGGCTAATGGATGTAATGCCTGCATATTTATATAAGTCCACTGGATAATATATATGAGATTACTAGAGGGTATTGAGCTCAAAGATAAAGATAAGAAAGGGTCTCGAGACCAATACTGCATAAGGCTGAACAAATCACTTTATGGACTGAAACAAAGTGGACGCATGTGGTACAATAGATTAAGCGAGTACCTA